TGAAAGACATCTTGTAGCCCCTTTAATGTTTTAAGGTACAGATTGATACTCTCTTAAACTGGGATTCTCTAATTTGGCAACATCCATGGTCTGGCATGGATGCTGCAGGATCAGAGAGTCCCGTGGAGGACCAGCAGTAAGGATTCTTGCAGGACCATCAAATTAGTGGGCTGCCTGCAGGAAGCTGACAGCAGGGCCGCCCAGAGTATGGCAGTGGAGCTGCTCAGTGGGGTTGGGAAACCTGGTTTGCAGCTTCCTGATGGAGCTATGGCAGCGATGGCTGCCCAGTGGGTCGACAGGGCAGTGGGGCCAGTGGGAGGCCAGCAGCCAGGCTGAGGAAATAGTGGCAGGGGTTCAAAAATGACCTCCCCTGGCCAGGCAAAATCCCTCATCCAGGATCAGTCACATCCCGAGGTTGCCAGACCAGGAAGGTCCTACCTGTATATAGATTTTTTTTTTTAGGTGAGGTGGATTGAATAAAACGGGTTATCCTTAAAATGTAAAAATACTGAGTCTTCTCCTTCCTGAAAAAGGGAGAGTTGATGTATGTAATATAAATAACAGCAACTAGACTGGCACTTTGGGGGCTGAAAAATTCTGCAGAAAATCTTCATTATAAAAACTGCACAGAGCTAATAAGGAAAACACGAGTTCCATGTTCTCTACTTGAGGGGGGGTAGGTAATTATATTTTCATGGAGGTTGGGATTCAGACTAGGGATGTAAGCAAGTAGTCGACTAGATGACTAACTGATAAGCCTAGGCTTATCACTTAATTGAGTAAAAAACAGGTTCCCCTCAGCACTGTCTCCGTGGTGCCACCTACTTCCCTTCCCCTCCCCCTCCTGTCCTCCAGCTGCTGCTGCCTCTATGAGGAGCACCACTGTGGGGAACGGGGGGAGAGAGGCCATGGGAGCCTGGTTCCAACCCTGGGCAGAGGTTGCTCTCACAGCATCCCCTATCTGCAGTGGCTCAGGCTGGCTGTAGGTAGAGGCTGCTTCATGACAGCAGTCCCAGTCCACGGAGTGGGGGGAAGTGCGGTGTCCCAGCAAGGAGCTGTCCACAGTGGACTGGGCTGGCTGTGGACGGAGGCTGCTCCAGCCAGACATGTAGCCCGGCTCCGTCCTGGCTCGCACTGGGTCTGGGACCAAACCCTGCTGCAGCTCTGCAATTTAAAAGGCAGTAGGAGTTGGGCAGCCAGCCTCCCTCCCACCTGCCACCCCACCCCATCCCCCGACTCCTACTGTGTTTTAAACTGCAGAGCCACCGTGGGATTTGGTCCTGGACCTGGCGTGAGCCAAGACTGAGGTGGGTTGCCTTCCCCTCAACTATTTGCATAGTCGATAAAAACTCTATCAACTGCTCAATTAGTAAATTAACCACATTTTAACATCCCTAATTCAGACACACCAAAAACAAAACCTGAAACATAAATTATCCCATTAGAGAAAGCAAGAATCCATTTCCACTTTAAGTGCAAGCACAACATGGCATCAATCTCTCATATTCCTTGCATTGTGATTGTATTAAAGATTTATACAGCTGGAGACAATCAAGGAGACAGTTCCTGGCCAATATCAACTTGATGTTCTGCACTGTACTAAATATGAGACTATCAGAGAACGACACACAAAAGCACTAGAGAAGAAAAAACATTTCCAATAAATTTCTTAAACTAAAAAAGCAGGTATGATGTCAATTTATCAGACCTCAACGAATCCCATAACAGTAACTGGAGGGAGGGGAAAAGAGTCAAGAGCCATATATGAACGGTGTGCATGTAAATTACACTGCATATATAATTTAAGTAATTATCACTGAGAATGTCTGTCCAGTCTGCAAGCTGCAGGTTGTTATTCTAACACAGTAGACTTCTGATAATCCAGCACCTTTGCAGCTTCCTGATGGGACTTAGGTGGTGCCGGATTATTGGATATGCTGGAATATCGGGAGGTACTCCGGCAGGGGGGCTGTGATGGGTCTGCTGGGACACGCACTGCATCCAGGGGGTGGGCAGGGAATGGCGCGGTGAAGGGCGAACTCTCCGCCGTTGTTGGAGGGGGGGGGGGGAACCCCCTGCCCCGCCGCTGAGAGTTGCTGGGAGGGGAGCGGGCTCCCTACCCCCACAGACTGCAGTAGTTATCGCCGAGCAGGGGGGTGAGGGGTGGCACTGCAGGACCAACCCGGCAGCACCCCAGCTGCTCTGCTCCACCACTTGTCCGCAGTTCGTCAGTTTCAGCAGCAGCAGCGGTGGACTTAGGGAAGTGGCAGAGTAGAGCAGCTGGGGTGCTGCCAGGTTGGTCCAGCAGCGCCACCCCTCATCCCCCTGCTCAGCGCCCAGCAGCACCCCAGCTGCTCTGCTCTGCCGCTTCCCCAAGTCTGCCGTTGCTGATGCTGAAACTGACGAGCAGCAGACAAGCGGTGGAGCAGAGCAGCTGGGACACTGCCGGGTTGGTCCTGCAGTGCCACCCCTCACCCCCCTGCTCGGCGATAACTACTGCAGTCTGTGGGGGTAGGGAGCCCGCTCCCCTCCCAGCAACTCTCAGCGGCGGCGCAGGGCTTCCCTCACCTTCCTGCAAAACGGCGGAGGGTTCGCCCCTCACCGCGCTGTTCCCTGCCTACACCCTACACCCCGGCCGGATGCAGTGTGGGTCCCAGCAGATCTGTCACAGGAATATAATTCCCTTTCCTTTACCAGCCGCAAGTGCCCATGGGGCTCACAGCAGCTCCAAATGTCCAACTGGCCAGAGCACTTGCAGGTTCCAGTTGGTGCCGGACTATTGGGAGTGCCGGACCACTGGATGCCGGGCAATTGGAGTTTTAAACTGTAGTACAATAATGATTTTAGAGCAGAAAGGGGATAGAGGAGTGTGGGACAAGTGCCCCTCCCACAGCCAGGCAGTTCCATGTGCGAATCCTGAGCTTCTGGAGGGGCAGGACTCAGTAAGCAGCTGCAAGGCTGTGCTACCGCACAGCTTAGAGAGAACCTTTGTTTGGGAACAGAGGAAAGATTCTTGGGTTCTATTTCTAAGTGCATAATTAAGTCAGAGGGACTTTTGGCCATGTCACTTAACTCCCTGTGCCTTAGCTTACTTTTCTTTAGAATTAAGAAAATGCTAATGACCAGATAATTAAAATAGCATTGCAATTTCTATGTAAAATATAATTAAAATCCTACTGCCTTTGCAGCATGGAAAGCCTTCAACAACTGATGCTTTAGTGCAGAGACAATGGACTTCAGATCTCTCACACATATACCCTGACCTGCCCCATGATGGGTTCCCTCATACATATGTACCCACACACACCATTCCCCACTGCCTCTCCTGCTACATACAAGCATGCTAACTCACTTTATCTAATATACAATATACCAGGTGCCTATAATTAATATCTGAGTATCTTCCATACCAACCAACACATAAGGATAATCTTCCATATTTTGCACAGCAAACACTAACCATCTACTTCAAAGTACCACCAATTCAAATTTCTAAGCAAGGAAAAAAACATATATTTCTAACTACTCCATATGGCTAAAGTTGGAGGTTGCACATGTGTGTGAAGAAAGAAGGAACCATGTATCTTCCAGGCTCTTGGTGAGGATAAGGTTACATGGAGTAGACAAAATCAGGGTTGTAAGTTGCAAAAAATAATAGTTTCAGTGTTAAATGTATTTTTAGTGATTTGGGTGTACATCATGTGCTGCCCATTGTGATATGTAATATAATAAATTAATCTACAGCATAGGAATCTTTACTTGCATACACCTAAGTGATTCAAGAAACCAACAACTTTTCAGTGCAGTTCAGCTACTGGATTGGTGAGTACCCATAAACTTTTCTATCCTTTATTCATTTTATTGTATTCTAATTCTTTGAAAATTGGTAAGTATAACTCTTATTTGAATAACCATCACCCCCATTTCTCCAATATGCCATATAACAAAGCTTTTATTGTAAATACAAACTATTATTATCCTACACTAGTTTATAACTATAACACTGTAACAAGATTGATCATATAAAAACGCACAGCCAAATGTACAAAATTAATAAAGCTGTTCAGAGTATCCATTCCAATTCAAATACTCTTGGGTTTTAATCAGCTCTGTCTTATGGAATATAAAATGCTCTTGTTTTCTTCCTTCTTAATCATATAGCCTAGAGTCAGTAGCATATAAGTTGCACTAAAACTGTGAAGCTGTTTCTAAATAAATTTTATGGTCTGCTTCAGAAAATATTTTTATGGTACAGTTATTAGGTTTTGGGGGATTTTTATAAATGACATGGAAATTGTATACTCTAGAAACACTTTAAAATACAAGGAGTTATTAAAACTAATCTTTGCAAATTTGACATGCTACAATGATTCATATTCAGAAACTGTTTCCAGCATACTAGTGATGTTATTTCAGCTATTGTGTGATACACGTACTTCTAGAAATGCAGCATCCTCTGGAACATTGGGGCTATGTCTACACTGCAGGAATTTGTCAGCAGAGGCAATGCAAATGAAGCGCTCATTAGCATTTCTCATGCTCTCATTTGCATAGTCTCTTCCAGTCCGTTTTGCGGTGTAGACGGGCCTATAGGTCCACAGTATAGTAGGGATAATAGTTACAAAGGCAGCAGACAGAGCATTTGGGATCAAAGTGTTAGAACCCCAATGCTTTACACATCATCTTTTATGCAGTCTACAATCTAATTTACCAAGTAACTGCTATATTAATGAGGCCTTTTGTCTTAAGGCTTATAAGGCCATAATAGAGTTTTACCCAGATTTTTAACATCTATATCATTGAAACATATATTGTTCTAGGTTATCATTTATCATCACATCTGCCTTTACTGGAACTTGGGAGCAGGTAAAAATTCTTCTTAAAAGCTTTTGGTGATTCTCCAGAAGCGGTCCCTGATTTACTATAATCCATTTCAACCAGGCTAAATATGCATGAACCCCTTTATTTTTAGTTTTATCTTTTCTGAAGTGCTCAAATACATAAAGATATTTAAAAGTCCATGCTTTAACAACTTGATTGCCCAACACAAAACAAAATTCAACAGTGGAATTATTCAGCGTAGTTACCTTCAGCCTCCTAATGTGATTCTCTGCCTCATCCTTTTCTTGTCTAAAGAGCTTCATTAGCTCTTGAACATTTCTCTCGTGCTTAGTTTTCACATTCTGCAACTCTGATCTAAGATCTGACAGCTCCTGCTTGTGAACATCTCTCTCCATCTTCAGCTGCCAGCTTGTTGTTGTCATCTCTTCTTGCTTAGACTCCTGGTGTTTTTGGAGGTCTGAAAAGTTCTTGAGAATCTCTTTCTTGGCTTTCTCTTCCTCTGCTATTTTGTTTGTCAGTTCTGCTCGAATAGCACTTAAATTTTTTATATCTACTTGCATCTCTAAGAATCTTTCCTGGTCTTTTTCATTGATCATGTTAGCTGTCTCAAGCTCTTCCTCTAAACGTTCTTTTTCATTCTTCATCTGGTTCTGTAGTAGGATCTGCTTCTGCAACTCACTCTCCAGTTTCTGTGCTGTGCCTTGCATTTCCCTGATCTCTTCCTCAAGAACTATCTGTTGAGACTTGGTTTCATTGAGTTTCACCTCTTTACATCGAAGTTCCTCTTCTTGCTGGGCCCTCTTTGTAAGCACATTGTTCAGCTCCTTCTGAAGGTTTTCTATTTGGTGTATAGCAGAAAGAAGTTGACCTTTTAGATCATCCTTTTCTTTAAGGATCTAGAAAATATGAAAAAAGAAAAAAATATCTAAATATTACCTAAAAATTCATTACATCAAAAATTGGTGCACACTATGCTGTTTGGAATCAAGACTCAAACTCTATGCTGGTAGTTGGGTTCCTGTTCCCTGAATAGGCTGCTGCTTAGCAACCAAGGCATGCAGGCTCCTGAGTCTCATTAAGAGCTGCCCTACAGCATTGGTCTAATGGAACACCTGCCACCAATTAAGGCCAGCTAGTCCACTATAAAAGGCTTCCTCTTTGGCCAATGAGAGGGAAGGAGATGAGAAAGCGCAGAGTGGAGGTAAAAATCTACAGGTTGCAAACAGGAGGGATTTTTCCTCCAAGATTCCAGGGAGTGGTTGGGGAAGTGGACCAGGGAGGAGCTGCTAGTCCATGGAGATAAGGGCAAAAGCACCACTAGTTTGGCTGCCATATAGGGCCCTTGGCCAGGACCTAGAGGAGGTGGGTGAAACTGGGTTCCCCCAACCCTCTCTCTGGCCAGTGGGCCTCCAACAGGGAAAAGGGGACCTTTGGACCACAGAGGGGTTTGTCCCTCCAAACTAGTGACAGGCCTTTGACAAAAATGGCTCCTAAAGTGGGGTACCTTTGCCTGAGAGAAACAAGAGGTACTGGTAGGGTCACTATGTTTTTAGCTAACTTTAAACATGCAAGTAAGTAGTTGCATTGAATCAACAGGATTAACTGAAAACTTAAGACTTAAAAAAAACCAGACTAACAAAATATATAGATGGTGGTACGAGCTTTTGTGGGCACAGCCCACTTCTTTAGATGACAGGAGTGTTAGAAGGCTAGATCCAAGAATAAATAGTGGAAGGAGGGGGAGAAAAGGGAAAAAAAGAGAAAGAAAGGAGAAAAAAAGGAGGGGAAGAAAAAAAAAGAGCCAGTGAATAGATAAGCTTCAGAGGCATAGTCAAGTTTGTTGTTTTTTAAGTTTTTCCTGTAACAGACTAATAATCTAGTAGCACACCTTTAAGACTAAGAGTTACAAGAGGCTGATAAGAACCATTAGCATCTCCATTGTTTGGTTGGTAGGTTAAGTCATAGGACATGAAAAGTAACATGTGAGCCAGCCAATGTCTTTGTTTATACTATTTGCATAAGAATTAAACTGATCAATGAAGTAAATTCCAATCCTTCCCTGTGTATTTGGCTTGTGGAATTTATGAACGTCCAGGTAGATTAAAGTGTTCTCCAACAGGTTTTTTTTAGTATTGCCTTTTCGGATATCTGATTTGTGTCCATTAATTCTTTCCTGCAGAGACTGTCCAGTCTGACCAATATACATGGCAGTGGGTTTCAAAAAACTCAAATAACTGCAAATTATGTTGAGAAATCAAGTCTGAATTTTTAATCATCACTTTCAATGAATTCATCAAATGCAAGGACTTCCTGCTCTCTCTCTTTAAAAAAAAAAAAAATCTCAGCTCTTAAAAAAAAAAAAAACACACACACACTCACGTTACCTGAAACTAGATTATTTATATCTAATTTTTCCAGTTGCCAAAATTATTTTCATCTAGTTCCTTGAAGCTATTACTAAATGCTGTACATCTAAATTTCTAAAACCCTCAGATGCAGTGTGTGAGACACTGTTTTTCAAAAGTTTCACTATTAGATATATGTTCTTCACTATAACAACATGCACTTTCTTTGATATATATATTCACTAATAAGGCCTTTTTTTCCAGATGTCATGAATATTTGTAAAATTTGTTTACAAGGTGTGGATAACCTCTAGCCTTGATTCAAGAGATTCAAACAGATTTTTAAAGAATAAAAAGGTTCCATATTAGTCATTTTTATGCATTCTAAATGAGAATGAATCTTCCTAGATATTGCATTTAAGATGGAGTGAAATTATTTCTCTTTTTTCAGTTTTAAGATGGCATAGAGGGCTGGGAACATGTGTACCAAGAACCACATCATTATTTGACAGCTCGGATAATTGGAACTGGGGGGGCGGGACGGAAGAAATCCCACCAACTCATAACAGTTCCAAATGCAGGAACTGACCTGGTTAGAAATCCTCTGTACCAACATTGGAAGATTCATCAGCCATAGATATGAAGAGAAGGATCAACTTTTGGAAAGGCTTTGTCCAATCTAGGTAGAAAGCCAGCATCCTTTTTGCATCCAAAGCATGAAGATGTCTCTCTTCATTAGTCCTATGGGGTTTGGAGCAGAACACAGGAAAGGAGATGTCCAGGCTCATGGGGAAAGTAGACGACAGCTTGGGAAGGAAGGCTTTGTGGGGCTGAAGCTGAAGCCTGTCCTTATGGAAGGCCATGCAGAAGATAGGGTCCACAAAGAGCATGAGGCCAAAGGCTCAGAGGGTGGGCCTATAAGCCTGGCCAAGATCAAGTTGAGATTGCACTGAGGGACTGGGGACTGAACCTGTGGGAAAAGCATCTCAAACCCTCTCAGAAAACTGACTGTCATGTCATGGGAGAGCACTGTCTGATCATGGATCGGTGGATGAAAGGTGGAAATGGCCGCCAGACTCTGACACAAGAACAGCTATTAGTGCTGTAGTACCTTAGAGATGAAGAGAGAGAGAGAAAGAAAATCACAAACTTTCGTGGGCAAAATCCACTTCCTCAGATGAGCAGAATTTCTGCGCCATGTCTTCAATCCAAATGCTTAATGCCTTTTTCCTTTTTTTCCAATTATAGGATCATGACTCACTCACACACCTTCGCACAAAGTTGGTGTACTTTCAGCAACGCTGTCCTTATGTTTTTCTCCTTTTTTAATATAACACACAGACTCATTAATGCCCTACATTTTAGCTATTGAGACCGCACTAAAACCATTTGCAACCTTTCCAATAATTCAACTTTCTGGCTTAAAGTCATCAGTCTGTTTTCCCCTTGTTAGTCTCTTGACCATTGTCTGCATTAGGGATATAACAGCGTAGTCAATTAACCAATAAGAAAAAGCTTATAGGTTAATACTGTAGACTACATGCATTTCCTTCTCCTCCCCCTCCCCCCCCCGCCCCGCCAGTAAATTTCTTAGCAGGCTAGCCAGGTCCAGGACCTACCCCCACTGCAGGTGGGCAGACGGCCCAGCTCAGTTCTGGCTCATGCTGGGTCCGGGAGCTCAGACCACCTCCCTTAGACAGGAGCTGCTGGTACTCCACGCTGCTGCAGACCAGCTCTTGCCTGGCACCCCGCACTGATGCCTCTGATACAGTGGCTGCCAGCCCCACATTCAGGGACTATAGAATAGTCAATTAACCAATAAGAATTCATGAGGTTACTCAACTATTCAATTAACCAATATTTAACCATCCCTAATCTGCATCACTTGCTTTTCTTTTTGTTGTTATAATTAAAGTTAGGTGTTACTTGAGCGATTGTCTTTTTTTTTTTAAACTAGAATTCACCTAGGAAAGGTCAGCATGCTGCATCATGTGCTTCTGTCGGTGCAGCACAACACACTGTGAATAACTGAGGTCTTACTGTAATGCCATTTCCTCTGGAGACCACGTACCCTGGGTCTGGAGATCACCAAGGTACACCCTCCTCAGCCAAAGTCCAAGGCATCCAAGACCAACTCAACCAAGTGAGGAGTGCTGTTGAAGGGGACTCCTTGCAGGACATTCCCAGGGTCAGTATACCATCACAGTGAGAAGTATCATCATACTGATAGTAATGATTTTCCCAGGTGATGCTAGGATTGGGAGTAGTCCATTGCCAGTCACTGCTGTTGGGGTTTCATCCAGACCCTGGCATATGCATGCTGCCAAGTGACATACAAGGAGCAGATAAATCCTGGCTGTGGTCAGAAACACAAAGACTTCTATGGTGAGGTCAGTGGGAGAGCACTGCTCCAATTAACTGTACTGGAACAAATGCGGGTTTCTTTTGTCCTTCACCAACAGGCTGAGGAGACAGTATGTGGATAGCAGCACTGTGCATCCCTCTAGATCTGAGGTCTAGAGCTGCCTTTGACAAGCCAATTGATATCCTGATGTCTGAGGTAAGCAACCACCGACATACACTTGGTAAATACCAGCAGTACTGTTGCTAGGCCAAACAGGGGACCATAAACTGATAATGGTTGGGATCTACTGTAAACCGGAGGAAGCATCTGTAACCTTCAATGACAGTAATGTGAAAATATGACTCTTTCAAACTGAGGGTGATACTCCAGACTCCTGGATTCAGGGAGGGATAATAGAGGCCAGGGAGATGATGCGGAACTTCAATCTTGCTAAATAGCTGTTGTAGACTGCCTTTGGCTTTGCGGATTAAAAAGTAACAGGAATAGAACCCTTTGTTTCTCTACTCTAGAGTAATGGCCTGCACCACATGTACCTTCAATTACTCTTTTACTTCCAACACAAAGAGATTCTTGTCAGAAGGGCCCCTGAAGAGGAACAGGAAGAGAGGATGGTAATGAAGAATAGAAAGCAACTGAAGGGTATAATCCTGCACCACCGTATTAAGGACCAATCAATCTGATGTCACAGATAGCCATGCAGGAAAAAAGGGAGATAGACAGTCAGCAAATAAAAGATCCAGGAAACAGTGTAGTAGGTTACTTTCAGGTGTTCCCTCAAAATAAGCACTTGCCTGCTTGCTTACTGTGGGTTAAGCCTTACTGGAATGCAGATGGAGGATGGTGGCTATGATACCACTTATAGCCCCTGGATTTCTTACAGGGAGATTCCTGGTGATGGTCTGAGACTATTGTGGCAGAAACTACTTGTGGGCAGTGCCAGGAATGTTCAGGCTCAGAGTTTTCAGGGTCCTGTGGGAATACAGGAACTCATGGAGTTTATTGTTTGTCTGTTCTGCAAACAGGGCTTGCCAAACAAAAGGGAGGTCTTGAGTCAACTGCTGATCCTCTATTGACAGTGGAGCAGCCACATGACGATGGCCAAGGCCATGGTTCCAGTGTCGTCATCATTCACTCCAGACACACCTTGAGGGTAACTCTGGCCACAGTCATGCCCTTGTCTGGAATTGCTCAGAACTTCTTCCTTCAGGTCTCAGGAAGGAAGCTCTTGAACTTGGCGATAGCCTGCTACATATTAAAATCATAGCACCCAAGTAGGCCCTGATAGAAATGAAAGCTAGAGGACAAATAAACTTTACATTGAAACAAGTCTAGCCTCTTCAAGTCTCTGTTTTCAGCAGTAGCTCTATGCTGACCGTGTCTTTCCCCGTGGTTAACCACCTCTACCACAAGGGAATTAGGAGTGGGGTGGGTGTACAGGTATTCTTGGTGTTTAGATGATACAAAGTAATTGCGCACCTACCTCTTGGAAAAATGAGACAAGGAGGAGGGAGTCTGCCACAGGGAACTGGTGATCTTTGAAACCCCTTCATGAAGGAGCAAAGCCACTCTGGTCAGCACTGTGGAGCAGAAGACATCAAAGAGGGAGTCCAAAGGCTCCTCTAAGTCCTCTGCCTTGAGGCTCAGGTTGGCTCCAGCCCTCTACAACAGCTCCTGATATGCCTAAGCATTACCCTGGGAAACTAATGAAAGAAGCCCCATTATAGCCATTTCTAGTGAAGACGAGGAAGATGACAGTGCCAAAGGGTCCACTGCACCACTGGTGACCCAGTGGCTTGCTCTCCCATGTTCTCCTGGACCTATTGGGTTTTTGGACCTGAGGTTTCCTGCACTGAGGGGGGAAGGGAGGGTTGAGAGAGGATTTGAAAACCAAGGGGTGACCAAGAAGGGCTGGGTGAACCCCCATTGGTTCCCAGAATACCGCTGCACCAACCATTCAACCTGAAGCCATGGGCCTGGATTCAGTGCTAAAGACTGTAGATAGTACTCCTGTTACCAGCGCTTGCTCCAGTGTCAGGAAACCTCCATTCCAAACTGGAGATAGAGGCTGAGCAATCATTCCCCAGCGAGCAAGACAAGGCAGAGAAGTAGCACTATTCTCACTGATGCTGCTCACTGCATTTTGGGGGGAACGGTGACATTTGGGGAATGATGGCATTGATCCATTACTTTGTCCTTGGAGTGGTATTGGAGTCACAGATGTTGGGTGCCAGGTCTGGAACTCCTGCGAGGGGACGGGGGAAGGGAATGAGTGCCTCCAAAGGTCTGCATCCGGTCACGGGCGACGCATGTCTCGAATCTCTCCACCCATGCAAGGTCCAAAGACAGAAGGGGATGAGATGTGTCTTCCTTTCATGATGTGGTAGCTATGAGAACATTGGCAGAACATACTGCACAACAGCACTGAGGCAGGGACTGTGATTGTTTAAACACAGGTTTACCCATGATCTGGGGACTGCAAAACTGTTGTGGGCAGCACCACGAAGGTTCTAATCGCCTGTGCACAGCATGCAGAGCTGACGGAGAATCCCCACTATCTGAGGGAGATGGTGGATAGCAAGCTGGACTATATTGCTCAACCGGAGCTGGGGCCCAAGTTCCTGATGGGGGCAAAGCACAGTCCAGCATTGGACCTTGCTCACTATCAGCCTTGACTATTCATTTGGCGCAAGGACAATCTCCAACTTCGCACATCTTCCTGGGTTTCCTGACCAGTGTCCTGGCTGGGAAAAGTTTGAGCTGGCAGATGGGGGGCACTGTGCATAGAGGACACGGTGGTCAGTGCTGAATCTGAGTGTTGCTCCAGCACCGGAGCACTGGCTGACTACAGAAAGAGTGCTTAAAACGAATTATCTAGCTCATTTTTTGTCCTGGGCTTGAACAACGTGCAAATGTTGTACTTATTGCTAATACGCCCTGCACCCAAGCACCGTAAAGAGCTCTTACGTGGATGGCTAATAGGCATGGACCACTTACAGAGATCACATGACTTAAAGCCTGGGGACTCAGGCATGCCCTTCCCTAAGGCAGAGTCCCATAAAGGACCTACAAAGTCTCTACTCAATTATCTAGGGATACTAACACTGACTACGGAAAGTATATACACTATAATATACAGTTAAACAAGTTTGTATGAACAAGGTACAAGAGTGTAAGCTTAATTAGCAATAGTTCTATCATTGCCACGGGCGGCAAGATGGAACTGAGGGTGAAGAGAACTGGTGGAGCCCTATATACCATGTACATTCCACTCCAGAGGGAGCTTAATTAGCAATAGTTCTATCATTGCCACTGGCGGCAAGATGGCAGTGAGGGTGAAGAGAACTGGTGGAGCCTTATATACCATGTACATTCCAATCCAGAGGGAGCCAGACCCAGTTCCCTATGAATACTGCTGAGGAGGGAACTTCCAGCACTAGTGCATCCAGTGAGAGGACACAACTAAGTTGAATGGACATGAGCAAGCACTCAATCTCCTTAACTGCACCTATACAGATTACAATACAGGCAGTCCCCAGGTTACATGGATCTGAATTACATCAGATCCCTACTTACAAACGGGGTGAGGCAACCCTGCACTAGCTGCTTCCCCCCAGCAGACCAGGGAGACGCGAAGCTAGCGCCCCCACCCCCCAGCAGACCAGGGAGACATGGAGTGGCTTTTCTCAGCAGACACCTCAGCTTGAGAATAAAGGACTGAGGGAAGTGAGGTGTGGGAAAATAAAACTGAGCTCTGGAGAAATGTTTGGCTAGAGTTTCCCCTACAATATGTACCAGTTCCGACTTACATACAAATTCAACTTAAGAACAAACCTACAGTCCCTATCTTGTACGTAACCCGGGGACTGCCTGTACTATATTTAAATGATATATGCACATGCACAACAAATACATCTTGTACTATTTCTCAAAAACTCCAAAACGGTATAAAAATTTACATCTTTGTAAGTTTCATCTTGCATAGCTCCTTCTGATTTATATAAAAGACTTTCCCAGATTTTTCTAGCACAAACAATATAATGCATATGTAATATACCTAAGTTTGCAGGCAAACCTTATGACTTAGAGCAAGTGCATGTGTTCATAAAAATGATTGTATTGTAATGGACTATTACAAGCAGTTCAATTTATAGAGCCCCTTTTATTGCAAAGTGCTTTGCAAACTATTCAAGGACGATTTTATTCGCTCTTAGGCAGAGAACACTGACATGTATGTGCCCTTCTGAGATGAAATATGACAACTGTTAAGCAGGCTGTAATGATAATAGTAACACCATCACTATGTAATTATAAATTACTTCCCTTGTGCTGTTCATGTGCATTTTGCTGGATAAATACTAAGTAAGAAACTAAAGAGTTTACATGCTAACGTGGACTAGCTGAAGAGCAGACATAGGAAGGGAAGGGCCACGAGGAGGGATTTAGGTAAGAAGAAAGAGGATGTTAAGAGGTACATGGAATACAGAAAAAGCAGTCATGTAGCACTTTAAAGACTAACAAGATAGTTTATTAGGTGTTGAACTTTTGTAGGGCAGATCCACTTCTTCAGATCATATTCTGAAAGTGAATTGGCATGACCATTATATAACAGAGGGATACAATGAAAAAAGTAAACAAATTACAAACTAACAAATCATCTACATAGAATAGAAGGTGGGGGCGGGGGGTGTTTCTGTCTGGCTACAGGCAGTAAGATATTCTGTGTCTTATTTTCTATCCCTTTCTTAAGAATTCCTAACATTCTATTTGCCTTTTTAACCGCTGCAGCATACTGTGTGAACGTTTTCAGAGAACTAACCATGATAACTCCAAGATCTCTTTCCTGATTTGTCGTAGCCAAATTAACCCCCATCATATTGTATATATAGTTGGGGTTATTTTTTCCAACGTGCATTACTTTATACTTATCCACATTAAACTTCATTTGCCATTTTGTTGCCCAATCACTCAATTTTGTGAGATCTTTTTGAAGTTCTTCACTGTCTGCTTCTGTCTTGGCTATCTTGAACAGTTTAGTGTCATCCGCAAACTTTACTACCTCACTGCTTGCTCCTTTCTCTAGATCATTTATGAATAATTTGAATAGGATTGGTCCTAGGACTGACTCTTGGGGGACACCACTAGTTACCCCTCTCCATTCTGAAAATTTACCATGTATTCCTACCCTTTGTTTCCTGTCTTTTAACCAGTTCTCAATCCATGAAAGGACCTTTACTCTTATCCCATGACAATGTAATTTACACAAGAGCCTTTGGTGAGGGACTTTGTCAAAGGCTTTCTGAAAATGTAAGTATACTATATCTACTGGATCCCCCTTGTCCACATGTTTGTTAACCCCTTCAAAGAACTCTAGATTACTAATAGATTAGTAAAACATGATTTCCCATTACAGAAACCATGTTGACTTTTTCCCAACAAATTATATTCTTTTACATGCCTAACAATTTTATTCTTAACTATTGTTTCAACTAATTTGCCCGGTACCTATGTTAGTCTGTAATTGCCGGGACCACCTCTAGAGCCCTTTTTAAATATTGGTGCCACGTTAGCTATCTTCCAGTCAGTAGACACAGAAGCCCATTTAAGGGATAGATTACAAACCACAGTTAACAGTTCTGCAATTTCCCATTTGAGTTCTTTTAGAACCCTTGGGTGAATGCCATCCGGTCCCGGTGATTTGTTAACGTTAAGTTTTTCTACTTGTTCCAAAACCTCCTCTAACAACACTTCAATCCAGGACAGTTCCTCAGATTCATCTCCCACAAAGGACTGTGCAGGTTTGGGAATCTCCCCAACATCCTCAGCCATGAAGACTGATGCAAAGAAATCATTTAGCTTCTCCGCAATGGCTTTATTGTCCTTGATTGCTCCTTTTGTATCTCTATTATCTAGGGGACCCACAGGTTTTTTAGAAGGCTTCCTGCTTCTAATCTATTTTAAAAAACATTTTGCTATTGTTTTTTCAGTTTTTGGCTAGCTGATCTGCAAAGTCTTTTTTTGCTTTTCTTATTACAGTTTTACACTTAATTCGATAGTGTTTATGTTCCTTTCTATTTATCTCACTGGGATTGGACTTCCATTTCTTGAAAGATGCCTATTTGTCCCTCACTGCTTCTTTTACATGGTGGTTAAGCCACGGTGACTCTTTTTTAGTTCTCTTACTATGTTTTTTAATTTGGGGCATACATTTAAGTTGGGCCTCTATATACAACAGGGAAGAGTTAAAATTCTATGTACAATCTTAGATCTGTTATTTCCTCAGTTTTACATGTTAGATTAAACCCATCCAATCTAAACATTCTGTTAAAGAGTTTTCCTGATAGAACAAATTTCAACACATTTGGCATATTTCAGGTTACATATTTTTCTACTTTTATTATTGAAAACACATTTTGCTAAGACCACACTCTGTTATAATCTACCAACTATTTGAGAGTTTGTGTCTGTCCGTCCATCCATCCATCCCTGAGTCTGTCTGTTCAAGAACTGCTCCTAAATGGTAAGAAGCTAGTGCAACCAAATTTGGTGTGCAGCTTCCAAATATCATAAAGCAAAGTAAGTTTTTGGTTGTGCAAAGACAATATAATGTGATTGGAATGCAATTATTTCTCATAAAATGGAAAGGGAGGGATCTGCTCGCAGGGACATTTGTACTGTACAATAATAGAATCATAGAACCATAGAGCTGGAAGAGACCTCAGAAGGTCATCAAGTCCAGCCCCCTGCCCTAGGCAGAACCAATCCCAACTAAATCAACTCGGCCAGGGCTTTGTCAAGCAGAGACTTAAACACCTCTAGGGATGGAGACTCCACTACTTCCCTAGGTAACCCATTCCAGTGCTTCACCGCTTTCATAGTGAATTAGTTTTTCCTAATATCCAACCTGGACCTCTTTCACCACAACTTGAGACTATTGCTCCTTGTTTTGCCATCTGTCACTACTGACAACAGCCTCTCTCCATCCTCTTTGGAACTTCCCTTCAGGAAGTTGTAGGCTGCTATCAAATCCCCCCTCACTCTTCGCTTCTGCAGACTAAACAGACCCAACTCCCTCAGCCTCTCCTCGTAGGCAGGAGCAGCCCGAGGCCGGCTGCAGCAGTTGGCGCCCTCAGCAGGGCAGCGCAAATGGAGCCCCTGCCTGCATGGCAGTCAATGGCCGTGATGTCATCATGGGGCACCCCAGCACCATGTGACATCATCATCAGGCGCCCAGGCCAGCAGCACCCTAGGCAGCTGCCTAGCTCACCTAGGCTCATGGGCCGCCCCTACTCGTAGGTCATATGCTCCAGCCCCCTAATCATTTTGGTCGCCCTCTGCTGGATCCTCATCCTTTTTGTAGTGGGGGGCCCAGGACTGGACACAATACTGCAGATGTGGCCTCACCAGAGCCGAATAAAGAGGAATAATGACATCTCTGGATCTGCTGGCAATGCTCCTCTTAATGCAACCTAATATGCCATTAGCCTTCTTGGCTACAAGGGCACACTGTTGATTCATATCCAGCTTCTCATCCACTGTAACCCTCAAGTCCTTTTCTGCAGAACTACTACTTAGCTGGTTGGTCCCCACAATGAACACAGGGGGCAGCAAAGGGCCAGAGATGGGGACTAGGACAGGCTTGTGCTCTCTCCCCGGGCAACCTGAGTACTAAACTACTTATTAGGGATATGAATGCTTAACCTGATAACCAGTTAGCCTCACCCATTAGCAGCCCCTCCATCCACCCCCATTTAATTGGTTAACTGGTTAAATAAAGTTTAGCCGGTTAACTAGTTAAACAGGATTTTGCATCTGCACTCCTTATCCCCAGCCCCACCCCAATACAATGATATACATGAAGAAAAACAAAATTTATTTCAGTTAAGGACTGAAGCAATGCCAAGCAAATCCTCTAGTGATCAATATTGGGCTCCAAGATAGCACTGAGCATTCTCTGTCTCAAGAGCTTGGTTTGCTGGTTCCTGCTCACTTGCTCAGGGCCTAACTATTATCCATATATGAGATCAAGAAGGAAGTTTCTCCCAAGTCATACTGGCAGTGACTTTGGAAGGGCTGGGTCATCTCCTGCAATATGTGGTTGTGGGTCTCATGACAAGATTATTTGGATGTCTCTCTCAATCACTTTTCATTGGGCATTAGTACACCTTGGTCTCTCCTGTTCTCTGCCTCCAGCACATAACAGTCTACATTTTGGTGGACTGTAATACTTGGGTTTAATTTTGGTTTGGGGTTTAAGGTGAGGATGCCAAGTGGCCTTTGATAAACAGTGAGTCACAAGAGATGTTCTTGTGGGCCTTAAACTATATTACTCTATAATTACAGAAGCTTCAGGGGGTAGCCGAATTAGTCTGTTAGGGTATGTCTACACTACCACCCTAGTTCGAACTAGGGTGGTTAATGTAGTCATACAAACTTGCAAATGAAGCCCGGGATTTGAATTTCCCGGGCTTCATTTGCATGTTGCCGGGCGCCGACATTTTTAAATGTCCACTAGTGCGGACTCTGTGCCCGCGGCTACACGCAGCACGAACTAGATAGTTCGGATTAGACTTCCTATTCCGAACTATCTGTACGCCTCGTGGATTTACTGGTCCCCGTGTCAAAAAGTTTGGGAACCCCTGGTATAAGCAATGAACACAGAATCTTTTACTTCTAGGCCAACAATATGAATACAGTACAGATCAATAAAAACTAAAAAAGTCATTAGCATCTTCCAGCTATTTTGTGGCTTATGTAAATTCACCGCACAGTTCTGAGATGGGCAAATGCATGTGTCATATACTCATCTCTATTTCTAAAATATAAAAGAGAAAGGAGAGGAAAAATGAAGACTTTGCTTTTACCTGATTGCTGTTCTCCATCAGCTGATTGATGGTTTCATTCTGTTTCACCATATCACGTTCCAATTTCTTATATTTCAGCTTCCAGTGTCGAATGGATTCCTGAGCTTTCACTTTCAACTCTTCTTTCTTCTTATCAGTCTCTAACCGAAGGGTCTCAGACTGCCTGAATTTGGCAAGGCACCGATCTGCTTCCTTAGTTGACTCTTCAAGTTGTTGGGCCAGCTCAGCAGTTTGGAGTTCTGTTTGCCTCCGTTCACTCTCACAGGCCTTGTAACAGCTCTGTATCTCTTTCAGCTGATCCAGCATCCTTTCCTGCTGCTTCTCTCGGTTTTCCAAGTCAGATGTTAACTTCTGTAAACAAACATAATGTATTATATAAGTGTAATTCTTATGGACATGGAGTATGAAATAGTAGCAAAGCAAAATACAGCGTAGCTATGAATATCATTTTACAATTTGTAGATTATGTGCAGTAACTTAGAAGATCATTGTAATTAAAGATGGATATGCCTGTTATACCACAGAATACATCTTCCTGTAATGGCAACTCTTAGTGCTCCAACAGAGGGCACAAACAGTACGTTTATATTATCCTGAATCTTACTGTAAGTACTGGGAAGTCACACATTCCCCTTCTCATGCTTAAAATCCAGGCCAATATCTAATATTTAAATCATAAGTCAAGTATTCTTTCATCCAACCATCTGTTCCTGAATGTTCCATAAACAGCTACTTTTTAAAAAAAGGACTATTTTTAAAATGGATATTGCAGCGAATTTAAGTATGTATCCTCACTAAAACAGTCTTTTTTTCAAAAACATATTTTCATAAACAATGAATAGAACATGGCAATACTTTAGAACAAAAAGTAAAGAAGGTTTCATAAACAATGAATAGAACATGGCAATACTTTTAGAACAAAAAGTAAAGAAGGCTATCTAACTGAAAATGTTGTGGAATTAAAGTAAATGAAATATAATTAGCAAAATGGGAAGTCTAAGAGCCCATTAAACAACAGGGTGAGCAAATACCAACTCATGAGCTAGATCCAGTCTGCCAGGGTTAGCACCTAGCAGGCCCCCACACCGCCATATTTACCTGCACCTCTACAGATACAGAGGATTGCAGCTCCCATTGATCACAAATCACTGTTCCAGGCAAATGGGAGCTGCAATCGCCCATATCTGCAAAGGTGCAGGTAAATATAGCAGCAGCGGCCCATCAGGGGCTAACCCAGGTGAAACGCTGCAGTTCTATTGCCTATCTCTGTCCTAGACAATATTGACCTCCAGTGGTCCGACAAATTCTCTGGTTTGAAGCCAGATGATTGTGTTCAGTGCTTATTCCAGTATTAACTGGAAAAAGAAAAAAGAACACTGTGCTATTTTACCTTGGTAAAAAACCTGAGGAGTTCAAAGGATGGATGAAGCCACTTTTGGCTGGCAGCAGAATTGCCTAGTATGACTCAAGAGCACTGAACAAGGTAACGGTCAATTTCTGGATTAATTTTATGACAATTTGACCTATAAAAAGGTCCTAAATGGCCTAGCACCTACATAAGAAAAATCCTCTCTCCTGATGACATCCTGCTACAGAGGCAGTCAGTGAAGAACCTGAGAATAAGCCCCACTGAAGAAAAGTTTGCTAGCAAGGCAGTCTATGTTAAGATCCTAGGCCTCTGTAACTTGCTTCTTCCCCCAAGTTTCTAACAGCCCACATTTGTTAGCCAGAAGAACACCTTGTTTTTACTCCCTCACCGGTAAGGAGATGAGTGGTTAGTAGGACTGGTTAATGGTGGTATGGAACTCAAAATTCTGTGGGGAGCTTAAGTTCTTTTTGTATTTAATTTTTTGCTGCATTATTTGATTTGACTGCAGTAACTGATGGGCTTTTTTCATTAGTTTATTTTAAAGAGTGATTGTCACGAGTGCATTGAGCATTAAATGTATGCTCTTGTAAAAAAAACCTTAAATACATAAATATTGGTTAACCAATCACTAAGGGTATGTCTACACTGCAGCATTTTTCCAGAATAACAGCTGTTATTATGGAAAAACAATGCTTGCGTCCATACTGCAATAGCGTTATTTTGACAAGTCGAAGTAAGAGAGAGCTTTTTCTGATGGCGGCAAACCTCATTCTATGAGGAATAATGCTTTTTCCGAAAAAACCTTTTTCAGAAAGAGCCGTGTGTGGACACAGAAGAGGGAGTTCTTTAAAAAAAGAGGCCTCAAGGAAATAACACAGGTGCCCTGCTAGCCACTCCATCCACACTCATCACAAATCTATAGTTCCTGTCTCCCAGCATCTCAAAGCTGCAGAGACCCGGGTCAGGCTTGGTGGTAGGAGAGCATCTAGACACCGTGAGCTGTGCCCCAGCCACAAGCCCTCCAAGAGCCCACTGGCCCTCACAGGGAGCATGCACAGGGCTCCCAGAAGCCTCCCAGGGGCCGCAAGAGGTGTGCACCATCCAGGTCTGGGGAAGGGATCTAAGCCCTCCTGGAGATACAGGGTGAGGAGACCTACTAGGACATCGGCTCCAGACTCCGGAATGTGGACATATACAGCCTGATAGCTGAAAGCCTGGCCACAAGGTGCCACCACAGGACTCTGGAGCAGGTCTAGAGTAAAGTGAAGGAGCTGTTGCAGGGGTATCTCAGGGTCAAGGAGCGCAGCTCTCACTCCAGGCAGGACGCCACTCCTGCCCTTACTACAATGAACTTCACCGCATCCTGGGGGGGAGGGGCAGCCCCTTCCCCACCCCTGGTTGTGGACTCAAGGCTGGAGACGCCCGTCATCGCCCACCCGGGGCTCCCAACCCAGGAGAAGGAGCTGGAGAAGGAGGAAGAGACAGGCAGCACCATCACCACCATCACCCTGGAGCCGGTACCCAAGGGCAGTGATTCCCAACCTCTTTCCCATGGAGGAACCCCTAAAATAATTTTTCATATCCCAAGGAACCCCTACCTATGAAAACGTTTACTTGGCCAAAAAAGTTGACAGCGGGGAGCACAATTCAATTACTGCTAAATTTTTCAATAAATTTTTTTTGTAAAGAGTGGTTACATACACACACACACACCCACACACCAGCTTACATTGTAAGAAAAAAATTGGAGCATTTTTCCTGTCTCTCTTTCTCTTCTCCTCCCCCTCCTGCCCACACCCACACCCACACCCACACCCACACACCAGCTCTCTTTCTCTCCTCCCCCTCCTGCCTCTCACTCACGGAGCCCAAATGGCCTCTTGCTCCCACGCGGTGGCCCGGCTGAGCTTCGCAGAAGTCCCCGCCCTCTTGCGCTGCTTGCGCCCCTTGCTCCCGGCTGAGGGGCGCAGAAGTCAGCCGAGCGCCAGAGTAGGAGGCGAAGGGCGTGACAGATGCTCTAAGCCCCACCCAGTGTTATTTATTCCGCGATTTCTTGCGGAACCGCTGATGCTGGTCTGTGGAACCCTGGTTGGGAATCACTGCCCTAGGGCCTGGATGTCTCCCAGGCATCCTCCAAGGACGGAGAGGGATCAGCAGGTGAGTGCTCTTAGTTTTTTTTACACATACAGACTCCGGAGTACCACAATGGGCATGCCTGCACACTCGAAGCACCACCCACTCTCAAGGACAGCGCTGCCAGGCACAGGTGTGTGTGCATGGCCCCAAAGAGAACCCAGGCTGCTCCAGGCCCCTCTCCCAGCCATGGGATCCCAGTGTTGCTGGACACTTCCCTTGCCTACTTGTCCATGGCATGGAAGGGGGGGCGGGAAACATAGTCCCCTAGGCACCTCTAGGCCTCCGTTGGGCAGGGCTCATTATCATGCCACACATGGCCTTCCTCTCGGGAAATCACCGTCCTCTGGCCCTAGGACTGTTGCTCTCAACTCACTAATGAGGGCAAGGCCTCAGGGACAGTGTCTCCAGAGATGACTGACCACTTCTCTCTCTTTATTTTCCCCCGCTGGACCACCTGTGACTGTGGAGCGATCATCACCAGAGGAGCCAGCCACCCAATCCCGGAAGAGCTGCAGGCGTAGGAGGATCCGGGAGGACCTAATAAGGGAGCACATGTCCATCCTCTGGGACATGCAGCAGACGCTGGCTCTGAAGACACAAAATGGTGAGCCCAGATGTGGATCAAGTTGGTGCAGCAGGGCTGCAACATGTGCCACCATGTGGGAGATGATAGCCTACCTGGCTCCTGTTCCTGCTCCTATCTTGTCCCTCACCCCATGACAGCCCCCACTCCTCCTCCCATGCCTGACCTCACTCCAGCCCCCTCCCCTCCACCTCCACCTATCTCCCTGGGTCCCCCACCCCACAGAAACAGTGGAACTTCCAGCTGCACCACACACCACTCTCAGCCCCCACTCTGAGCCTCTCCTCCCCCGCCCACAAGGTTCTCAGCCCCTCTTCCCCCTTCCCATATCCACATTCTCAGCCCCCCTCCTCCGCAGTTACTTTTATTTTAAAAAATACAAAGATTGTTTTTGAAATACAAAACTGGTGTTTTTATTGAGTCTACAGGGAAGCGGGGGGGGGAGGAGGTTTTTTTTTCCTGGGGAAGGCATAGAGGGGAAGCACAGACACCTACTGGGGAGGCCCTGCAGAGAGTTACTGGGGTCATTCAGAGAAACTCTTCCTCAGGGCATCCTGGATGCGTACCCCCAGTTGATGGGCCTGGTGGATGGCAGCTGTGCGCAGCTGCTCAAAGGCCCGTCCCTCCCGGCCTGTCCCAGCCCCCCATCCCGGGAGGAAGGCCTCCCCCTGGCTCTCTACAATGTTGTAGAGAACACAACAGGCTGAGACCAGTTGGGGGATGTTATGCTCCCCCACCTAAACTTTGCCTTCAAATGACCAAAGGTGCATTTCGACTGGATGCGGGCCCTGCCCAGCGGGCATTGAAACTGTCCCGCTTGAGTCCAGGTGGCCAGTGTACAGCTTCATAAACCATGGCATGAGGGGGTAGGCCACATCCCCCATGATGCACAGTGGCATCTCCACATCCCCAAACCTGAAGTCACACTAGAGGAAGAATGTGTCAGCCTCCAGCTTCTGACAGAGGCTGGAGTTTCTGAAGATGCAGCCGTCGTGCTCCCTCCCTGACCACCCAATGAAAATGTCTGAAAACTATCCGCGGTAGTCAACCAGGGCCTACAGGACCATAGAAAAATAGCTCTTTCTGTTGATGTACTGGGTGGCTCAGTGTCCTGGGAATTGGATGGGGATGTAGGTTCCATCTATGCCTCCCCCCCCAGCAACTGGGGAAGCCCAGAGCAGCAAATGCAGCCGGGATGGAGTCCAGGTCTGCCAGGCAGATGACCCTGCACAGCAGGATGGTGTTTATGGCCCTCACCACCTG